GATTGCTCACTGCAGCCAGTGTCACTTACAGAAAAGTCTTAGATGCCAACTTTATCATAAGTATTTAAACAAAATGTTCAGTAAGCTATTTCTGATTGCACAACAGTATAATTATCACGAACTCCTTAAGAAATGTAATGCACTTTTACTTAAATAAACAAGGCTGCCTCCCTTAGTAATGTCTAGTCTTAATCCAGAAAGGGTTAAATCGGTTCAATAATGTTTATGGTTTGTAAATGTAGATCCCTTTGCTCATCACTGGTGATGGAAATTAGTACAGATACACAGAAATGTCCCCCAATTAGTGCCTGCATAATTCATGTATCGTGTCTAATGTGATCGAGGGACATTTTAAGCTGATTTCCTGATTTCTCCTGAAGTGAAAGGGAATATGGTTTTCTGAAACCAGAGAAATCCACAGAGGTAGATAGATGAAGTTGTGATTACGTGGAGAATGCTGTCTGCCATGGTTCTTGCATGGATGGGGGTCTGTGATGAAGTCACTGTAATCTACAGACCTCTTGGCACCAGGGCCTTTGATGGACTCTGTTCCCTCTGGGTCAGATCCACGATGCCAGCCCGGTCTATTGCAATCTGCTTTTTAGCTCATGAGGGCAAGGTAGTTATCTGATTTGGCGGCTGGAGATAAAGCATGGCTCCACATATTCAGAATACCTGAACAGGGCCTTGTCTGCCTGCATACGTGCTCACTGTTGTGTGTCAGCTCCTCCTTGAGTGAAAGGGCTTGGCTTGTGCCATATTGTCTCCGGCCTGTTAGAATGCGAGTATGCCGCAGTGTCTCGGAACTGAATACCGCAGCTATATTTCAGCAAACTTGTATCCCCGGTAGGCCTTTAACCCCTTCACTACCTTCTCGCTTTGATATATTTTAAAAATAAAAAGCCTCTCATTCCAGACCTGGATACTTTTAAGTGTAGTCATTGTTGTAAATACAGCAAAGATAGGAGCCAATTGGTATACAACAAGCTCCTAAAAAACAGAAAAATGATAATGGCCAAATTATTTGCGTTCTATTGATGTTGGCTGAGAGGTAAATATTGTCCAGGACACAAAGGAAACTACCCCTGCACTCATTTGAAACTGTGTCAAAGAATATCTAATCCATCTGAGAGAGTAGAAAGTCTTATCTGAGTGAATGTAGCACTTCCAAGTGTGCGGCATTCCCTCAGCGCTGCTCTGGCGGTGTTAAGCTGCATTGTGAGCTCAGGTATCTGGAATGAGTCTTGAACCCACAGAGAGGTGAGAATTACAGCACATCGAACCCTGTGCCACCTTTGACGTCCTCACAACATCCTGACACTGATACCTATTTCTCTTAACAACCAGTTCACAGACATTATTACACACCTCTGGTGGCAGGTGGAACTTGAACCTGGGCCTCCTGGACCAGAGGTGCTACCACTGCACCACAAGAGGGCCCCAAAGTAAATGTTGCAAACTTGAAATTGCCCAGCCCTTTTGAGACGACTGTATAAGGTACATCACCATCCTGACACTTTTTACAACCAGCAAAGTACTTTTTAAGTACTTTTTGTTGTCACTGGGACAAAATGCAGGATTGGAGGTGGTTAAAATTCTGGGTAAAGTAATGCCAAGTAGAAATTTACAGCCCGAGGATTTTGAAATCACATTAGGAGGAAGGAAGTGTGTGATGGTTGTCAGGCTCTGAGCTCTTTGGCATGTCTCTTTTACTGCGGATCAGCAGAGTTTACATTTCTTAACGTATTCTTTCACAGGGCCAAAGATAGCGTCGACAGCAAGAAACTTTTCCCTTTCATGGAATGATCAATTACCAGGTGGCGTAGATTTAAGGGAAGGGGCAGGTAGTTTAGAGGAGATGCAAGGAAAAATGTTTTCATCCAGAGGGTGGTGGGAATCTGGACCTCACTGTCTGTAAGTTTGGGAGAGGCCGAAACCCTCATAATATTGAAGAAGGATTTAGATGTACATTTGCAATGCCAAAACAATACAAGGCTATGGGCCAAATACTGGAAAATGGGACTAGAATAGTTCCCTGCATTTTTGAACAGTGCGAGTGCAATGGGCCGGAGGGACTTTTTCTGTGCTGTAGACCTCAATATCTCTGAGGGTGTGAGTGTTGCTGGCTGGGTTGGCATTTATTGCCCATCCCAGTTGCCCCAGAGAAGGTGGTGGTGAGCTGCCTTCTTGAACCGCTGCTATCCATGAGGTGTAGGTAGACCCACAATGCCTCTAGGAAGAGAATTCCAGCAAACAGTGTTGATAAAATCAATAAATATTTGAAATACTCAGCAAGTCAGGCTGCATCGGTAGAAAGAAACAGAGTCCCTGTTTGGATGAAAGGTCGCTACCATGAAAAATTAACTCTGTTTTCTCCACAGATGCTGCTTGACATGCCTGACATCTTCAGCATTTTTGTTTGCTTTTATTTCAAATTTTTAGCATCCACAGTATTTTGTTCTTGTAATCACTAGGGTGATCAGTTCAGAACTTCAGTGATAAGGATAGATTGGAGAAGCTGGGACTGCCCTCCTTGGAGAGAAAAAGGCTGAGAGGAGGTTTGTTTGAGGCTTTCAAAATCAAGAATGGGCTGGACAGAGTAGATGGGGGAAACTATTTCCCTCTCCCCCACCAAGTGAAACAAGAAGAATGAGGGGGGTAGATAAATGTGACGTGTGAAGGAAACCTCCATTCAGTGAGTAGTGAGGGTGTAGGATATATTGCCTGGAAATATGACAGAGGCAGGTTCAACTGAGAGATTCAAGAGGGGAAGGGAATGGTTATTTGGATAGAAATGGTGTGTAGGGATATGAGGAAAAGGCAGGAGATTGGCACTGGGTAATGATGCTCATTTTCAAGAGCTAGTGCAGACATGATGGGTCAAATACCCACGTCCTGTGCTGTAACAATTCTGTGATCAGGGCAGTGATAAAGTTTTCCTCAAAGTTATCGTGTTTCCACTTTGAAGCAGCGCCTCAGAGAAACCCTTTATACGTCAATGGTTAGGACTCCATGCAGTATTCTGCTCAAATCTGGGCGCCACACAAGAAAATTCAACATCTCAGAGAGAGTGCAGATGTGGTTTCTTTGATTGATCCCAGCGATGAGGGATTATTTGGACAGATTGGAGAATCTGGGATTGTTCTCCTTAGCAAAGGTTTAAGAGGAGATTGCATAGAAGTGTTCAAGCTTTCTGGTAGAAAGAAAGCAAAATGGTTTCCACATACAGGAGCATTGATAACCAGAGTACATAGACTTAAAATGATTCTCAAATGACTTTGAATAATTGAAATGACATGGAATATCAAATGTTGCAGGACAGAAGGAGGTCATTTAGTTTGTCATATCTGTGGTGACTCTCTGCAAGAACAACTTGCCTTGTACCATGCTGCAATTTTTTTTTCCCATAGGCCTTGCAATTTTTGGGTTATTTTTTCAGATAATAATCCAGTTTTCTTTTTAAAGTTTTGGTTGAACCCGCTTCCACCATGCTTTCGGATTTCTAGATCCCAACATCTTGCTGTAAAAAAAGGTTTCCTCATGTAATTGTTGCTTTGCCAACCTCTGTCCTTTGCTTCTCGATCCTTTCACCAGAGGAAGTTCACCAGGGTGATCCCGGGTATGGAGGGATTGTCTTATGAGCAAAGGTTAAACAGGTTGGGACTCTACTCACTGGAGTTTAGAAGAATGAGAGGTGATCTCATTGAAACGTAGAGAATTCTTCAGGGGCTTGGCAGGGTAAATGCTGAGAGGGAGGGTCTAGGAGCAGAGGGCATAGTCTCAGAATAAAGTGACACCAATTTAAGACTAAAATGAGGAGGAATTTCTTCTCCCAGAGAGTTGTGAGCCTTTGAAACCCCTTACCACAGAGAGCTGTATTTAAGGCTGAGATAGATTCTTGATCAGTCAGGGAATCAAGGGTTTACAAGGAAAGGAAAGGACTTGAGGAATATCAAAGCAGCCATGATCCTGTTGAATGATGGAGCAGGCTCAAGGAGCCAAATGGCCTATTCCTGTTCCTATTTCTGATAGTCTTATGGGAATATTGTCCCTCTATGCAGATCTGTCAACATCTCTAACAAATCCAGTTCCTAATCTTCTCCGAGAAGAACAGTCCCAGTTACTTCGCTCTTTCCATGTACTTCATGGATAGAGGCATTCTCATGATTCTCTTCCACAATCTCTCTGTCATGCCTTCATGTCCTTTGTATAGTGTGGGGCCTGAAATTGGACAGAATTTTCCAATTGAGGCCAGGCCAGATCAGGCCAACAGCATGAGAAAGCAGCAAGTTGTTTGGATTTGGAATGCACTCCCTGAGCCATGGAAGCAGATTCTGAAATAACTTTCAAAAGGGAATTGTTTGAGTACACGGACAGGTAACTGCTTGGCAGGTTCAGAGATGTTTACCAAGTGTACTTCAGTGGGAGTCGGCAGAGTTTCAATCATGATGGGGTTCTGAAGAAGGGTTGCTGGACTCAAAACTTGAACTGTGATCCTCTCTCCCAAACCTGCTGAGTTTCTCCAGCACTTTCTGTGATTGTTATGGAGTGTATATGGCTCAGAGCTAAAGTGGCTGGTGTAAAAAACTTTGCAGAACTCAATCAGCGTGTGTATGAAGTGTCCTTATTTGGACTCATTCCCATTCGTCCATCACCCTTGGGTATGGAACATCTTGAGTTTAAGCTTCTCATCTGAGTTCTCAAATTTCTCCCAGGGCCTTTCTGTCTCTGTAATCTCACAACCAGTCCCACAACCCTGTGAGATGTCTGTGTTTTAATTCTGGCTGATTCCTTGATTTTATTCACCCTGCCATTTGCAGCTGTGCCTTCTGCTGTCTTACCCTGCCACCTCTCTCTTTCTTTAAGGCAACCCCTAATATCACATTACCGTTGTTAAATGATGTTTTCTACCACGGCTAAGAAGCATCTTGGGACTATGTCAAAGGTGCCACAAGTACTTCTTGTAAAGGTCCTTTCTAACTGTTGTTCTCTGCCCATAGATGGATTAAACCCAGAAACGAAGCAACGGCTTGCAACATCCAGCAAGAAAAAATCAAAAGGAGGGAAGGGCGACTCGACGAAAGCTGAAGATGGGAAGCTTGAAGCACAACCCATAATTATCACTTTGGCCTTTAAAAGATACGTATTTGATCCACAAAAGAAAATGATACAGTCCTAAAGTGTTTTTGAAGCATAAGTGTGCAGGAGTGGGACTGGGACTGGGTTAAAGAAGTCCCCTTGCCTTAAAGCTCATTATTCTGGGGACAGGTTTCAGTGATTTCTGAAGGAATAAAGTCAAAATTAATTCTTTTGATTGCCGAGAGATGTATTCTGTTTCAAAGTTATCAATTGAGATGGGCTTTCTCACCCTAACCCCTAAAGGTGCTAACTAGCGATAACACAGCCAGAGGCACCACTATTGTCAGCAAGGTACCTTTTGAACTGCCTAGGTGTGATTGTTGGTCAGCTGATTGGCCATGTGGTGGAGGGGAAATTTGATTGTGGCCTCAAACATGTGTACAGATCAGTTCACATCACCAGGAGTCAGGAGTGGGATAAAGACTGCAAATCTGGAAACACAACACCAACCTTTGTGTGGAGAGAGAGAAGCTCAAGTTCACATCTCAGGTCGATGGCCTTTCAGGAAAACTGGAACTAGCTCGAGATGCAACAGGCCTTTCAGTCGATACAGAGGCAGGCTGGGAGAGTTATAGGTGAACAAGTTGCAAAGTAAACAATAGGATGGGCTGCGGGAGATTAAATGACGGAAGAGGAATGGTACAAGGCTAAAGCAGGTGGTAATAACACACAAGGGATAAAAATGAAAGGTGGGTGGAGAGAGGATGGAAAGGGGAGCAGCAACATCTTTACAAAAAACTAAAGAACTACGGATGCTGGAAATCAGAAGCAAAATCAGAAATTGCTGGAGATATCGAGCAGGTCAGGTGGAGAGAAAGCAGAGTTAGTGTTTCTGGTCCAAGGACCCTTCTTCAGAACTTCAGCATAGACCAAGGTGGGAACCTGCTCTTGCTCAGAACGCCTGTTTCACTCCACTTGCTTCAGAATTGGGGAACCCAGCGCTAGGCTTGCCCTGCAGCCGTAGTGTTAGTGCAAAGGCCCCATACCTCACTGTAAATGTAACAAGACCAGATCTATCCCCATTGTAGATCTGATTCTCATTTTGAAAGTATCATAACCTTCCTGCAGCAGTGACAGCATTACAGAAGCTGCACTGAGATCTGATCGGCACTGTGTTTAAAATGTAGATTGCCACACCAGCTGAATGACTGTAAATCACTTCATAGTTTAATTATGAAATGAATGTACAAATTGTTCAATATTATTGATACCAGTCATGCACTGAACCACCCCTGACAGCCATTGGGTATAACATTATGTGAAATTTTAAACAAACTCTCTCCTCTCTTACCTTTGTTTTGTACAAACCACCATTCCCACAGCCACAGCAAGGAGTTCTCTCATTTTCCTTATGGATATTTATACCTAATGGGCTGGAACCACAGTCAGAGGGTTAGTGTGTTTTATTGTTCTCTCATGTTCCACTACAAAAGGCCTTTTGATGCGCTCTCCTGGAATCCTGACGAACATTTCTCCTAACCTGTTCCTGACCTAATGATTCCCTCTCCAGACTGTATCCTCCATCCTGATAACACACCGTGCTGGGTGGGATCTCGTGCAGACCTATTCATTCTGTTAGCCTCCTGTCCCATCCCTGGGTTCACTGCTTTCCAAAACCCTCCCCCCTCCGCCCCAAGCTCATTGTTCCTCCAAACACCAACCACCCCCACCCCCGAGCTCACTGTTGAGTCTTTTCCCCCCACTCCCCCAGCCCCAGAGCTCAGAGGTTCTCCCCATCCAATCTCTCTACCCCATCCCCAAACTCTCTGCCTCCTGCGTTCCCCCCAACCCCCAAGCATACTGCACCGCCCAAGTGTCTGGTTCCTAGCCTGGAGTTTACTGTTGTCCCCTGCTTCCCACCAACCCCCCCACCCCAAACCTCAGTGCCCTCTTTCCCAGTGCTCACTCCACATTCAGGCCCCACAGTGAAAGGTGATTTTGTGAGTGATGCTGTCCAGAATTGATAACCCTGCCTACATCCTACAAATGAATACAAAACATTGAATCTGAGCTTGAGACTTCGGCAGCCATAGTGTTTTATCCGCTGTAACTGTATTGTAATTAAAGTCATTGTATGTTCCCTTTTGGGTTGAGTTTGTGTCATGTTTTCTCAAACAGGAAACATCGGAGCTTCTCACATTGATCACTTACTTTGCCAAAGTTCACTGAGGCTCCAGTTCAGAAATTCATAAAAACTGCCAAGTTTCACACAGGTGTGGCTCAATCCTCATAGTCATTAAACCTCATCCAACGTTTGGTTGGTCAGTCAGCCCTGCTGTGGTAAAAGGTTTTAAAGCAGTCTGTCAGTAATTGACTCCAATGGGGACGAGTGTGATTTGTTTGGTATCTACAACTGCCTGGCCAACATGTGAATGGAAACCACTCCAAACTTCTCCTTGTAATTAACAGCAAGATCGAGCATTCCCAACCATTTCTGAAGAGGTTTGTGTGTTTTTCCATCTAATTTTCCTACTTTTTGAACTCCACTTTGGGGAGAACAGGGGACTGAGTTGGATGATAAGCCATGATTGAATTGAATGACAGAGCAGGTTCAAAGGGCCGAATGGACTCCTCCTGTTTTGTAGTCCCTGTGAACCCCACTTTCCTCATTGGGTCAGACCCAGCCACCTCTGCAACTGAAAAGACGGTTTGTTGAATCACTTGACCATGCAGCCAGGATCCTGTTGGTGCTTTGATTGTAATCTCCAGGCACAAGTTCTAATGGCTGCTATCCCAGTCACGTGTTGTTCACTGGACACTTGTCTGCCCTGACCACAGCCTCCCAACACACTGACCCCACTGATTGGAATGGGAGCGTAGTAGTAACATTACTATGTTTGTAATCCATAGGTGTCTGTTAACAGTCTGGGGAAAGTTAGTTCGAACTTCATCATAGCAGCAAATTAACTTAATTTCAGTTAACTAAATAAACATAGAACAAGAGATAGTAGGAACTGCAGATGCTGGAGAATCCAAGACAACAAGGTGCAGGGCTGGATGAACACAGCAGGCCAAGCAGCATCATAGGAGCAGAGAGGCTGACGTTTCGGGCCTAGACCCTTCATCAGAAAAGGGGGAGGGGAAGGGGGTTTTGAAATAAATAGGGAGAGAG